CATAACCATCGAATGTTCTCTTTCATGTTCTGTCTTCGTAACAAAAGATTCATCTGGAAGTATTTCAGTATTTTCTTCTTCAATACTTATTATACCTTGACCAAACAGAGAACCAGCAAGACCAACGCTTAACCATAAACAACTTCCTAAAAGTGTTGCTCCACGAAGACCATATGAATCAAGAAGATGTTGAAGTAACAATGGAATTCCAAACATTCCAATCGATGCACCACTTACAGCTGAAGCAGTTGCTAATGAAACACGATTAAAGTGAAAGTAAGATGGAATGGCTAAAACGGCCTAGAATAAAATCTACGAAAATCGTTCTTCTATATAAAACTTACAGGTACAAGCATAAAAGCTTCACCAGCCCCAATAAGAATTCCATAGAATAAACAATAAGCCCAATAATCTCCAATAACGGCTGCTAATATCGAACCAATAGCTGAAATAAAAGCACCTGATACTGTTGTCCGTCGAACACCGTACTTAATTGCCAATACACTGGCAAATACACTGAATGCAGACATAGTGGCAATTTGTATAGAACCTGGAAGAGTCGATTTAAATGATGATAATTTATAAGTATTTTTGAATGCATCTTCGAAAATTCCAGTTGAAGAAATAAAACCCCAGGTAATAGCATTAACATAGAATGAAGCAGCACATATCACAAATCGCCAACGAAGACGAGTTAAATCAATAATATCATGAGATGAATGTGATACTTCGATAGGCATAATGCATGCTGATATTATTACAATGACGCGCGCTTGAATTTGTTTATATTCTTATAAGCATTTTCGCTTTAAAAGAAAAATCAACAAATCTAGATATGTTTTAAATTTACTTATGAAAGAGATTAACAAATCTTGATGATCTTTATATAAAGAGTATAATGCCCCCTTTCCTAGCCTGATTATGATTATATTTCACTTAATATTTTCCAATATGAGTTCTAACATGTTTTAAGCGGATATAACTTTAATCCATTACGTATTCGTTTTAAGTGAAGTTTGTCAAGAGAAAAAATGCAAAACTTCGAGAATGCATATTTTATTGTGCTTCAAAATTTGTTTGAAGTAACAAGTAGAACAGAATAAATGACCACGTTTTGTATTTTATTTTTTACATCATCTAATATGTTTTATTAAGAAACAAAATGTACCACAAGATGCAACATGAAAAGTTCTACAATCTACAATACAAAGCTTATTTCATACATGCATCGTTAGTTTTCAAAATAGACAAAATGTTGTGTAACCAAATTTCGATGCTGCAAACAAAATCATTTGTTGATACACGATGAATTTCTTTTCTTATTTCATGAATGAATGAATCATACTTTTTAGTGTTAATCCATAGATCATGTTTCATATTTGTTTAGCAATCTGGACAGATGTCATGTCATCCATCAATCATTCACATAATCACTTTTCGTAGATGTTCAAGTTTCATTTCTTTTTACTAACTAACACAGTTATACCGATATGATTTGTTATTATGAAGTTCGTATGTTCCTCTAACAGATAACATCAGAGTGAATGAAAAAAATATAATCGAAGTACATATCAAATGGTCTAATATCGGCCATCGATTGTGCCCTTCTATATGACTCATAATTGAAGAAGTAACAAAAGGAATTCGTCGTATACCAAAAAAAAACTTGTGGCAACGTCGAAATTTGGCCACACAAAATTTTGTCTATTTTGAAAACTAAAATTGCATATATATATATATAATAGGCATTGTATAGTAGATTATAGAGCTTTTTACACTGTATCTTGTGATATATTTTGATTTTTAATACAACCTATTAGATGATGAAAAAGTAAGATAAAAAATGCGGTCATTTATTCTGACCCACCTGTTATTTATTATATGAGCTTTTAGCATGAATATCGACGGTTGAAATATCATCTTCGCTGTTAACATTTAATTATTGTACAAGTTCAAATGTTTCTTAGTACCTATCTAGACTAGATGTCGAAATGGGCAACTGTAAGCGAAACGAGGCAGATCGCAATCCTATTCTTTTTTTTCTAATGTCAAACGTTGAAAAATAAAAGTGAAACTGTGTTTAATATGAAATAGACTTTAAAAATTAGTTTCGCATTGTCTTAATATTGATTATTCAATATATTTCACGATGACTTGCCAGGATTTGTCTGTTCATAGATATTTTGACAATCGGTTGCTGTTGCTGTGTTCAGCAAACGTGTATCTAATATGAGTCACTATTTTTATCGATTCTATACGAAGTTAAGCATTACGTAGTTAAAAAGAGTTGCTGATAAGAATTCTTGATGTCATATCAGAGCCTATTCGTTAAGAAAAAATAGCTTAGACGCAGTAACTCTTCTTCATAGATTCATCAAATTCATACAATCATTTGATATTTATTTTTTAGCGGTATCTTCATACAACCGACAAAGTAAGATAAATAATGTGCATATAATACCGAATGATAATGAGTAATCACACAATCATCTAGAGAATCGTCAGAATTATTTTTTATTCAAAATTTTCTTGTATCAAAGTGGGTTTTACAGGAAAAAACTAGAAAGGATTGATACGTGAACAAACCAAATCGAGTATGAAACGAAAGAAGTAAAGGGAAAGGTAGTTGTGCTTGAGGATAGAATAAAAGAGAGTCCATTACACAGTTCCGATGAACAACAACAATATATGTCAGTCACGTTGTTGTTCTTCTCAGAGTGACAGTTATTTTCACCAGACTTACACCAAGTTAAATCAACTACATTCCGAGTGATGCCTTCACTTCCATCGTCATGAGTACTTCTCCAAGCCTGTTCAGCGAAGAATCAATATCAAGATATTGTAAAATAAAGCAACTTACACCACAACGTTGATCAGAAGTAGCTGCTACTATAGAGATGCCAGACATGTCATTCGTTAATTTTGTCAGCGTGTTTAAAATTTTCAGGATTTAATGAGATAACAATTTTTACAAGTTTTATGAATTGTATCTAAGCATTTGATTGGAATGGTTCACCACAACCTGGTGCTAAAAGACTCCAACATTCATAACAATTGTAAGCATGTGAAAAAGTCACGCCTAATAATAAATTAAACATGAAAATTCGAATTTATTAGCAGAATATTCATACCAAAGAACAAATAGAAGATCAAAACGTATGAAATATGCATCAGTAACAAATAAGAATCTAAATGTGCTTTGCAGTGTGTAATTTTGAATTTCTTCGTCAAACGTGCTTGCTTATCTAAACATTTGCGCAAAAGATTGCAATATTGCAAGATAACATAACATTAAGCTACACCTCGGACGATTTCTCATTTAGACTTTTTTTCACAGTAAAGATTAGAGACAAATGCTTCGTGGGCAACAGAGACCGTCATGGAGCACTTTTTTATGCCCTGCCCTGCCCTGTGCCCTGCCCTGTTTCGCCCTGCTCTGCCCTGAAAGCAACGTATTAGTTTCATTTTTGCCCTGCCCTGCCCTCAGGGCAGGGCAGGGCAAGACAGGGCTTCGAAAACTATCCTGATTGATAAAATTAATAACAGTACGAAAAAACTTTATAACTATTTTCAAATAGTGTTTTCGCGTTTTATTTACATGTTATCGATCAGATATCGCAATTAACCCTTTGAGGACGGGATTACTTTTGAAAAACATCAATATTTCGAAACTCTGGAATAATATTTCTGTTAGCAAAAGGGTGAATAAGGACACAATATAGTTGGTCGTGCAGCGTTACATTAGCCATGAGAGACCCATGGCCAACGGTACATATAGATCATAAGAGTATCATAAGAAACATATGCAAGTAAGTCACGAGCCGATCCACGACCGTTGCATATATGTAGGCTTCCCAGCCCCAAAAGGTTAACCTGTATATTTTGAATGTATAGCTAAACACGAGCAAAAAGACAAAGATAATAATCAAGAAATGAAGTCATCGTAAAAGATGATGATTGAACGTGTGTGGGGTGTGGATGTGGGCGTGGATGAAGGTAAAGAGAAGATCAACACTCACACCACACTCATTTGACGAGGTGACGATTTAAAACGAATATGTTGTGGAAGATCGTATGCGAATCTGAAATCATTTAGAAAAAAAAGATATCAAAACATGAAACAATGAAAGTAACTTGCTAAGTTATACAATTGTCGTTATTCCACCATATATTACATTGCATGTCACTACAAATCAATGGATAATACCAAGTGAAAATTTCGGATACTGCCGCCATCGAATATAGTCAAAATTTTACATATGTCGATGAACGCACAATGATATCTATTGATTTTTCTCAGAATATCAAAACTATTGATTAGAAAATTTCTCTTTGTTAGTATTTGAAAAAATTCATCAGGGCGAAAAAGTTTGCCCTGCCCTGCCCTGCCCTGCAAATCAGGGCAGGGCAGGGCCAAAAATGAAAACTCGCCCTGCCCTACCTCAGGGCAGGGCAGGGCAGGGCGACAGGGCGGGGCTGCCCTGCCCCGTGACGGTCTCTGGTGGGCAAATATTATCAGCCAATCAAATTGTTCTATAGGCACATGAAAAACCAAACTTGAATATCTAAAAAATAGAATTCGATATCATCAAATATTAGCATACTGCATAATGGTATACAATTCCAACGTAACAAGAAACTCGCACCTTCTTACTTTTTCGACATTCTAAACTTTGTCAGCTTTCTTACAAAAAAGGGTCGATAAATTTTATACGGTACGCTTTGTATTTGTGTGATAACGTAGATGCAAATCTATCGTTTCTCTGATAGAATCTAGAAGAATCAGATCAGTACAAACTTCACAATATGAGATATTTTAATTCTATCAATCACTAATACATCAACCAATCCATGTAAACCATGATTAATTGTTATAGAATGTGCTCAATTTAACACCTCAGATTCTGCTCAGAATAGGTGTGTTTATAGGGAAGATCCACCCACGTCCTTATTTCGATTAATATTCTGATTCAAATCTATTCAGCTACAACTCATTTGATTTCTGGGTCACATATACAACTCTGCAATCTCAGATCATATAGAAATTGCAGAAACTAATAAAAGAATTCGAATGAAATCTTTAAAGAAAAGTACCATAACATCTCATCAACAGGCTGTAACAATTTCCACTGTTGAAAGAATCGATGTCAGTGATAGCTTAATCATGAGTAACGATTATAGTAGTTATTTGCTACATCATTTTCAATCAGTTTTATTCTTACGAGCAAAGAGTAAGATAGTCAAAAACCCTGAGCAAATTTCTTCATCCACGAACTGAAAAATTGCACTACATTCGTATTCAGTTCTTGTTTTTCTCAATTATGTTACTTATTAAAAAAAAATTCATTGAAAGAGTAGCCCTGTATCAAGTAGCAGCTACTTTACATCTCCATTATTTTTCACCTCAGCCGGATTTATTTCCGCTTCAAAAAAAAAGAAGAAAACAAACTAGTATTGATGATAATGAATGTAATTGTATATCGGGCGTAAACATAAAGATTTGTTTATCATCAATAGTACGTATATATATCACTGACACTACAATCAGTCAAGCAATAATGGCCTATTTCTTATCTGTTATCATCATCTGCACTCCATCCAGTTCACTGTTTTTAATGACCGACGATTCTTGATGGTCAAATCGTTATAGATGAGCATAATTAACGGTGAAAAGTAATTGAGCATCTGCTAAGCATGATGGTATACAGATAAAATATGTCAAAATGAATTTTTTGCAACTGTCATGAGACTGCATAAATTTTGCTTTTTTTAACTAACTAACAGTACTACGTTTGATACGATGAGACATGAAATACGAAGCTTGTCTTTCTGTTTTTTGACAAAGAATTACTAGTAGAAGATTGAATTTGTTGCAAATGCGTTGCTTTCTATAGGTCATTAATTAATATCGTGATACTGTACT